CCCCCCAAGGGGGGGGGGGGGGGCTGTTTGAACTTTTTTGTGACCAAGAAAGATTAGGACTTGAAGAAAAGATTCTAAATGTTGTACAACATAACCATTCGGACTGAAAAAAGAAGATGCAAGACATTGGTAATACCGCTAGTTGTAAAATCTCATTTCGCTTCTTTTCTCCACCGCTGAACCCTTCATTTACATTTCTATTCAAGAAGTCAGTCTTCATGTTCACAAGTTCAAGCTTTGAGCTAATATATCCATAGAACTGCATATTGAAGTTACTCAGATTCTTCTTTGGGAAAACAGACCAAATAGACTCATAAGGAACTCAGTATGGTCTATTTGGATGAAGGGTCTAGAGGGGTAGTATTTGGATGGTATGCCAAATGAAGTTTACACTTTCTTACATTCTTATTAAGGGAGGGATTATGTGACTCATAGCATTTTTCTCTCTTCTAAACAAATTTCAACCACATGCTTTCTTACTTTTCAACACATTACTTAACTCCGTGAAATCAAACTGTAAACTTTGTTTTGGGTACCAGATTGTTATATGATCACATATTAAGACAATCAATCCATTTTTATAGAATGCCAAATTGTTAAGTATAAAGACATAGATAGAGCCATGCCCCCTTCCAATATCCTCCATCCAAACAGACCCTAAAGGATACAAACAAAAGTATAATCATAAGAGATCACAATATAACACTGCCAACCATGTTACATACCTCAATTGGACCAAGTTCTGCCAGTCCAAGTTTCTTTTGCTTGGCATTGTATGCCATGTTCAGGAAATCTATATTACTAACACCTGGAATCTCAACTGGGGACTGGAAGCTCATGAAAATACCAGCTTGAGACCTTTCCTCTGGATCCATTTCAAGCAAATTCTCTCCTTTAAATGTCACACTTCCATCCGTTATTTCGTAATCTGGATGCCCAACAAGGACCTAAACAAAATAAGTTAGCACGCAATTTTTGAAATAATAATAATAATAATACTGTAATAATAATAACAATAAATCTTGGTCCATCCCAAAATAAACATTCTCGTTTTTTGCCCGTCCCAAAATAAACAACACGCTTTTTAGGCAAGGAATATGTGGTCATCATTATTTTTCTGTTTCTAATTGAATCCAAGCACACACTTTTTACTTTCCATTACTTCTTAAATCCCGTGTCCGGTCAAAGTGGATTTGGAACATCAATAACAACAACAACCACAACAATATTACTAACAATAATACTTCCTCCAATCCATATTAACGGACCATCATCACTTTTTAGATGCATTGGGAAAAAAATGAATGCATGCATATGAAGCTCAACAAGCTACCAGTTTCTTTATTTTGGTGACCATAAGCACACTGAATAAATCACACAGACATGGACTACCAGACCAGTTGCATTTGGGCATTATCATAAAAAACATAGAGAAACATACATGGATTACATATGAAGCTCAAGAAGCTACCAGTTTCTTTATTTTGGTGCCCATAAGCACACTGGATAAATCACACAGACATGGACTACCAGACCAGTTGCATTTGGGCATTAAGCCCCGTTCCGTTCAACTTATTTTTTCTTATTTTTTCTTATTCTTATTAAAATCAGATCAGATCAGATCGAATCAGATCAGATCTGATCGAATCAGATCAGATCAGAACCAATCTGATCAGATCAGATTCAATCAGATCAGATCAGATCCAATCAGATCAGATCAGATCAGATCATATCAGGACTTATTAAAATCAGATCCCATCAATTATTATTACTATTATTATTATTATTATTATTATTTTCATTATTATTATTATTATTATTTTCATTATTATTATTATTATTATTATTATTATTATTATTATTATAAGGATGAGATATTTTAATAAAAATACTATCTCTTCTATATATTGATTATCTAAATTTAATTACTTTTTAATGTATATCTAAATTAAATATTTATTCTAATGTATATATGAAGTAATTATTAAAATATTAAATTAATATACTAAGTTCACAAAAAAATAATCATAAAATAAAAAATATTATTACATTATAATATGAATTATTATTCTAATATATGAATTAACCATTTTTATTTTATTAAAAAATAATTATTAAATAAAAAATATTGATTATGTTATAATATAAATTATCATTACAATTTTTAAACGTTATTATAAAGTCAAATCAAATTATTGATTTGAAATTTTAAATTAAATCATAATTAATCAGACCAAATCAAATCAGATCAGATCCAATCAGATCAGATCAAATCCAATCAGATTAGATCAGATTCAATCAGATCAGATCAGATCAGATCCAATCAGATCAGATCAGATCCAATCAGATCAGATCAGATCAGAACTTATTAGAATCAGATCAGATCAGAAAAAATAAGTTGAACGGAACGGAGCCTTACCATTAAAAACATAGAGAAACATACATATTGAAGATGTGGTGCAAAGAGAATGGTTCATATACATAAAACTTCACGAAACGTGGATTTAGAATACCATATAACACATCCAGGAGAAATTAACAATCACTGACCTTTGCAAAAGTGCTCTTTCCAGAACCATTCTGCCCCATTAAAGCATGGACCTAAGCAATGCCCCAATAACAAAATTTGAACTCGTAAATCCATTTTACTGATAAACAACACAACGAGATATTTCCAATTTGTGAGCCGAATATAAAGTTTGTGCTTCATCAAAAACAGATTAATGATTTGAATTCACACAATTAAGCAAATTAGGTTTCTCACCTCACCCTCGTGGACTGTTAGGTTAACTCCTTTCAGAACCGGCTGTCTCGACTTGGAGATGACGGCTGAGAGACCTTTGACTTCGAGCAACAGTTTAGGGCATCCATCGTCGCGGTCAGCGGCGGCGGAAGGCGGGGGAGATTCGACGCCGAGAGCAGATTTAATTCTCAGGAAGCGCCGCCGTTGAGGAGCGATGATGGACGCAGAGGATTGCCGGGAATATGACGTCGATAATCTCGAGTAGTAAAGCTCGGGAGTAGCGATGGCCATGCCTAATTGGGAAACGGAATTACGGAGAATGTGGAAGACACGAGCTCAACTTTATTCAGGCTAAAGGCCCAACCAGTTGGAACACGAAATCAACCAATACTCACCTACTCCTTCCCTACTAAATTATTTGCTACATTTATATTCCTGAGATAAAATATTAAGTTTTTTCAAATCATTTTATTTACATATGGATAAAAAAATAAAAAACAATTTTTACATATAAAAAAATTACATGAAAAGTTCTTCAAAATAAGAGGTGTCAAGAATATTTTATTTTATCAAATAATCAATGAAAACGTCGAAATAAGCAAAAGTTTCCGACACTGCTGAAAAAGCAGATGTTGTGAATATTTAGGAACGGGGGAGTATTTTTCTAATTAATATCAAATCAGATTAAATCAGATCAAATTAAAAATAATTTAATTATAACTATATTTAGATTAGATCAGATGAGACAAAATCAAATCAAAACAGATCAGATAATATCATGTTTTCAGACAAAATAAGGTACCTCGCTCGCTCTCACACACTTCTAATCCAATTATTTATACTCCGTATTATTTTATCTTTATTCAAAGCTTGAAGTACACCATCACGGGAGTGTCAATAACTTTTCACTCAATGAACTGAGGATATCTCCTACTCCATTTCATTCCCGTAGACCATTTTTCCGTTTGAGAATAACTTTTTCTATTATCGTTAACGTGTTGGATAAATTTTAACGTACATATTAAGTTGAAAACGATGACACTAATCACTACTCGTATATAGTATTTTCAAAACGCCAACATTAATCCTTTACGCTATTCCTAAATAGGTTCCATGACAAACAATGACTTTCTATTTCTTCTTAATATTTACTATGTATTACGGATACCCATTTAAATGTAATTAACCGATTTAACTACTACGTAATAAAGATTGTTAATGGTGTTTGCATGGGTGGCTCGAAGGGTGTGTAAAATGGCCAACCGTACAGTGCCCCTAAAATTTCAAAGTCCCATATTTTTAACATCATCATTAATTTTGAAGCATAATTAAGTACTCCCTCCGTCCTGAAATTAATTTCTCACTTTCCATTTTGGGTCGTCCTAAAATCATCTTCCCATTACTTAAAATGGAAAGTTTTTATTCAGGAAATGACATTAATACCCCTAACCAAATATACCCACCCAATTTCTCCATCTTTCAGAATTCACAGCACTCACCCAAACAACTCTATCTCTCTCTCTTTCACCGTTTCACACCTCTTTAGCACCGATACTTTTTCTCCTCATTTACCTCTTTGCCATACATTATCTCTTCATTCAACTCTTAGGCCCCGTTTGGTACACGGAATTCAAACTATGGAATTGGAATTGAGGATTTCAATTCCAATTCCGGTGTTTGGTAACACAAAAATTATGTGGATTTGGAATTGATAGTGTAAAAAATGAATTAGAATTGACAGAATTCAATTCTATGGAATTGAATCTCATGGAATTCCAATTCCAATTCCAATTCCAATTCCGTCAATTCCATATACCAAACGGACCCTTAGAGTTTTGTGTTTAATTTGGTCTGCACCATCACCCCTTTGCTCTATACATCGTTATGGTCATAGACCAAAGCTCCATCCCGGAATCAATGGTTGCCGCATCTCCATCCTTGACTCCATCGTTATGGTCATAGGCCAGTGCGATTCGATGGTCAATTATTTGTTTCAACATTCATTTTTCAAGAGATTTTAATTTTGTGATGTTTAAAGGGCAATGGATCCGGTCTGTGATTGAGAATGTGAATTTGGAGGATAAGGGGCATTTTGGGAAAGTCAATGCAATTTTCACACTTTCTTAAAAATCACCTCCGGTCAAACCGGGAAGTTAATAATAGGACGGAGGGAGTATTTTAAAAGAGGGTTCAAAGTATAAATTTCGGACAAACGAATTTCATTTTTTCATTTTTTGAGATTGCTCATGGGTGGGTGTTTGATTAACACCTAATAGGAAACAATATAATTATTTAATTATATTCGTTATTTTATTTTTTTCTTATATTATAATATAATTAAGATTTTTTGTAAACTCTATATATAGAAATGAAAATTTCATTATTCAATAAAATCAATTGTTATCAAATTCTATTACACGTCCAAATATAAAGAGCACATCAGCACACTTTAAAAAGGAGAGGAGAACTTCTTTTATAGCCGAAAACTCGAAACTAGCCGCCACAATCCACATAGATAAAATAGATTAAAGAAGTGTATTGGATGATGTGTAAAAATGAAAGTGAACACATACTGTGGGACGGAAGTAGTATTTGATAAAAAAAATTTGAAAAAAGAATATAAAAAATGAATAGTAGAAAGTTCCCCCAAGCAATCATGTGTTCGAACCCCAGGCGTGCGTTTTTAAAAATTCTTCATAAAAGAATTGAAAAAATCGGATCCAGTGTAAAACCGGCCGGTTTCCACCGGTTCATAGTCGAAGGCGGTCTGAATGTCTGGTTCACCGGTTCCCGGTCCAAACCGGCCGGTCCGGTCCGGTTTTTAAAACTTACAATCCAAAATTTCTTATCTTTTGAAATTATTTATTTATAAATTGATGTATCGATAAAAGATACTCCCATATATACTAAAAAACTAGTTTTCTACCCCGTGCTTCGCACGGGCTCGTGATTTATGCTAAGTGTTGTTCGCGTATTTTAAATGTATATTTGATGGAAAAAATAGATGAATACTCAAAGGCATAATGTGTTGTTTGAGTAGAAATAATCATTTTATAAGTATGATAGTTCTCATTTTTTAAAGAACTCCAAATTTAAGATATTTATTAGTAGTGTTAAAATTTCTATTGAAATATTTGCACTAAATAACACTAAAATTTAAGTCATTTCTCTAAATAGCACTTAGATTGTTTTCTTCCTTAAATAGCACTTTATAATGTTCATAATGACCAGTGATAACAAACATTTACTTGAATAATGACTAATGGATAATGACTAAAAATGCTAGATTGAGAAAAAAACATATGTAGTGCTATTTAGGAAAAGTCATTATGTTTTAGTGTTATTTAAGTAAATTGCTCATTTATATTTTTTAAAAACAATTTTATTAAAAAGATGTTGAAGAGTGTAGAAACCAAGTAGAAGCCCATAAGAAGGGAAAATAAATAGCAAGATAGATGGAACCGAAGCCCCTTTAAACTAAATGTGGAAAAAAGGAAAAGAAAAAAAAATTCAGCATTAGAAACAAACTCTAACTCTCATGTTCCAACAACTACAACACCATAACACCAATTATCTCAATCCAAAAGAATGAAAAAAGCAAAAACTGTCATCCAATAGCCAAACTAACTAAAAAACATCCTTACCAATATTCAAACTTATTAAACTCAAGTGTACTTCCAACAAAGGACAACTTGGTCAAAATTTGAGTATAAATTTTGGTACTAAGGTGTAGCGAACAACAGTTGTATATACATCCTCCAACTTTATCACCAATAATTTAGACAAACCTGAGACTCTTCGAAGCAAGCAGAAACGGAATCAAACTACAAATAGAAGTTGCACAGCCAAACAGAACTAAACTTTTACTGAACTAATACCAAGCTTTCTTTTTTCACATGTTCAATATGTAATTATATATAGTAAACCAAAAATGTTGACTCCATGAAGACTTGCAAATGATATTTGACCGCTAAACCCCAATACTAATAAAGATATGTATTCATAGATTGTAAAACCATATGATTGGGTTTGAAAAAGAGTAAATGAGAAAATGAGTACTTTTCCAGCCAAATGCCAAGAGACATTATACCTAGTTTTACAACACAAACATTTCAACTTTGTGTCGTGTTTAAAGTAATAATGTTTTTCAACAAAACTAACTTCAATTTATTCATAAATACATGTAATTATATGAGAGTAAATTCATTTAAAAGCTAGAATTCACTTTTGAAATTGAATAAACACACATGTAATTACCACTGATCAAGGGTATCTTCTTCTTTTTCTTTGATTAGCACTTTGATAAATGTAATTAACAAAGAATCTCATGTAGACCAAATTTTTTTAAGACAACTGATTTTAAATTATAATTCTTCTGTTATGAACATAAGGCTTTAGAGTTATGGAGCATTTTCTTGGAATATCAAATATAGGTTAATAAATTTACAATTGGGAAGGTGTTTCATCATTTAGTCGATATAGCATAGATGCTTCAACCAAATTAACTATTCAATCAATAAGTGAATTAAATTCACCAACCTTAATTCTTTGTATAGAAAATATGCTGCCTGCTTTCCTTACTTCTATTTGGATGGGCAACTAAGCAATTGGTCATTCTTATACAGATGAAGACTGCTGCAGATATATGTGTACACTACGACAATGCAAAGCAGCAATAGCGCGGCTGCAGGGGTGCCCCTAATGCAAATGTGTGTATTCTGATGACAACTTTCTCTCATTATTGGAACAGAAAAGCGCCCATCTGGTGAAGAAACTAACCTTAAAAAAAAATTAGAGTGCATTGAGTGAAGTCAAAATAACCAAATACCATTGCCATCTATAGCCTTAAAACAGTAGTCCATGCCCACCTATATAGAATGGATAAAGCTACTTGTACCCCAATTTTTGTACCCCATTTTGTACCCCGCAGGTTTGCACTGACACTTTGTGTTAGTGTAAAACTAATTTCTTTTAATGCACTAACACTTTGTATCTGTGTAAATTTTTGTTAACGCACAAACACTTGTGTCAGTGTAAACCATCAAAATGTTTGTGTATAACTGCGGTGTACAAATGGGGTATAATATGTGGTGTAAGTGTAGCATGACCCATATAGAATTCAGCATCTAATTTTGAACCCAAGACAGCAGCCAGTGTGAAACCCTTTCATTGGTTCCATAACTACTTGGTAACCATAAATTGTAACTTGTAAGCTACAACTCACTGAACCTACATTCTGTAAACTGAGATTTTAGATCTGATCATTCCCTTTCCCAAATACAAATTCGAAATCCTTTGCCTGCAAACAATAGTTAAAACCTAAAGCCAACACCAAATGCCCAAGAGGGTATCAAAAACATCAACATTTGCTACTCCGTATTAAGAAAGTTGCAAAAATCTCAATAGTTGCTATATGTAAGGCTTTCAGCTCTTACCCCCCTCTCTAGACAATCGATCCAAGACATACTCAGGTAAAGAAGAATAAATATTGGGGTCATTTTAACGTCAATTATAAAATTTCATGGTTCAATGCATGCCAATTGATGACTTCCCATTTAAGTAATTTCCTTTTTTATTTCTTTAGTATTATGACCAATTGCGTTGATTACACTTTCAGTCCAACCTTTTCAAACCCTAAACCCGTTTCTGAATCAGGTTTCTCCCGTTGGTATTCTATTTTACATCCCAATTTGAATCACAACCCAACAGATTCTCATTGGATGGATTTGGTCAAAAAACTTTTAATTAGATTAAGTTATTATTATACTCGGATAATCAAAACATATATAACACCGAAGGATTCATGAAAACAGTAACAAAGAGCAACGAAAGTCATAATTCAAAAAAACTGATTCAGAAAAATAATAGTAACCTTAAAGTGCAGCAGATATGCGACATATAGAAGGAAAGGTCTCACCTGCAGTAGACTGAAGTGCAGCAGATATGCAACATATAGAGGGAATTGCAGATGGATCCCTTGCACCGGCTTTGGCTGTCAAAATAGCAGCATTCCTTTCAGTAGCAACCACAGCTTCTGGTCCAGTAGAGCCATTGCTTCCAAAACACTTGAAGAGTGCTTGGTCACCAATGAAAATGGGGGGAAATATGATTTTTTTGCATATATTAAGAGTGAATGTTTTGTTGGGATTTTGTTGAGGTAAGGAGGAAAGGTTTGATTTTAGTTTTAATAAATCATGTATTTCTAGACGTAGTATAATTTTTCATACCATCTAAATGTAGATGTTACTCATCCCCTTCCCTCCCCTCCGAATTCCCCAACCAATCAAGGGCCAAGTGTGAAACGTTTATTCTTATGGTTTCTTCGTTCTTAATATCGTAGATGAGTAACATTACTTTATTGTATACTAATTTCTTAATCATTCATAGGGTGATGATGTTTGTGAATAAATGTTCTTAACTTCCTGCACGCACAGAATGAAAGTTTTTTCATTAAATATATTAACAATGATAGAAGGTGAGGTACCTGGGGTGTTGATGGAAACATGTATAGAGTATTATCCTGAGTTTGAGAGAGAGCAGACACTTGTTTCTCAATAAGATCCTTCGCCTTGCATGATAAGTTCACAACAATACAGCAAGCAGGGATAACAGTGCGAGCTGCTTAATCTTTTGTTACCACTGGTTGTTGGCTCCAATATGATGTAGCGTCCTATAATTAGATTTACAATTTGAAATAAGAAAAATACACAATTATATTCTCTAAGGAAGAGGGTGAGCCAAGGTTGAGCCCGTATGTAGTGGCCAGAAGCCAGAAGGTGAGTATTTGGTTACTGAACCATGCCCACCCCAACATGACTTGTGATGTCCAAAGAATTTATCATTTCAGTTAGTCAACATTTCAGTTATTTACAATAATTTATTTATGGACTACAAAGGAATTATTTTTAGATACAAATTTTTATCATAGCACAAACAAAAAATTATATTGCATAAAGAGATCATGCTCAAAAGTGATAACCTTCTAGAAGTTGCAGTGAGTAGCTTAGTGACATCAAAAATGAGAGGACTCATTTAACAACTTGAAACATAAGATACAGTAGTACATATTCAAAATACAAATTTAAAATGTAGGCTCAAAGCTAAATAGGATTTGAAAAAATGAATGTTTAATTCTAGCTAATAAGAAATGGACTATGTCAAACACATGTGAAAAAGCATAACCATGTAATGCAATATATCCAATGGCTAATTCGTTAAACCATGTAGATACGCCTATGTAGGAGTAGATTGAACCACTCAAATCTGATCATAGTAATACTCCACCAAAATTTACAATGGAAGCACATGAATACATGAAAGCACAAATTTAATTGTTGGAACTTATATGACTCACCAAATAAATTCGGGTAAAAAAAACTTGGAACACAGCTTGAAGAACGAATAGACCTTCCAATCCACTATTCGACAAATAGATCGCCAACCTTGCATCTTATCCAACACAATTTAGGGTCTATTCTTTTTCTTCCAGGGGGAGGCAAAGGATGATAGAACCTTAAAAAACAATTAAAAAAGTTCTCTGTATCAGTTAATCAAAGGACTTTCAAAATTAATTCAAAACCTAGAAATGTCTCATTCCAACTTTAAAAAGAGGAATAAAAACAAACATGTGGTGGGGATGAATAGAAGTTGAGGAAGAGAATATATAACCATATCATTAAGATTGAAAGTGAGGAAGACAGGAAGATAATATACAACCTCTAAGTTCCCGGATCCTTCCTGTCTATATTCTTGGAACATGGTGATTTTCTGTGGGGCTCATAGTTTTGAACTCCGTATAACACCACTTCTTGTATAACATGAATAAAACCAAAACAAATCCTATGAGAGAAAATAGAGAATTGAACCTTGTTTTCCATTAGGTGAAATTCTTCATTAGCATTTCCCAAAGGAGTTCTTTCTGTTTGTAAATCCTCCTCGTTTGCAAGCATTCTGCAATCATGATTATATCTTATTCTCACTAAAAAAAGAATTCATTTTTACAGACTGTTTATAAGCAAATTCAAACCCAGAATGAGAGTAAAAAAATAGAAAGAACCCAGATTTCTAGTTACCTTTTCACGGAGTCATGGCTGGAATCGTGCACCCTCCATCTCAGTGATGCGATACATCAAACAGCTATTGAGTACCACTCAAATGGTCCAGATGCTAAAACTAAATCAATTTTAAAATTTAAATACTACATGATAAAAAAAAGAGTATTTCATTAATGCCAAATCAGAATGTAATCCCATATATAGGCGTAATAATGCATCAATGCATATTTGATTGATGGAATCATGAGACATTCATCACAACAATATCTAGGTTGTGCATAAATTTAATTGAAGATTTTTAAACTTACCTTTGCTTTGCTGATGTAGAATATGAATGAACTCACGGAGTAAAAAAAATAGACCAGGGGCAAAACTTTTATTTCTACGCCCAATTAGCAGATTCAGATCCACTGATTCGATTAGGTTTCTTCATCCGTCAAACTCTTCGCAATTGGCATATACACCCCACGCCCAAAATAAAATCTAAACGGAAGAAGAAGATAGGCGGATGACCTGGGAAGGTGGTCAAAACTTGAAGACTGCCAAGAACGTTGTCCCGAAAGACTGGAAAGTCGGAAAAGTGGAAATGAATAGATGGTGGACAGCAAGGAAAATTAATACCCGCGTGGCAGGACACGGAAGACAGCTCAGACGCCATGTGTCAACACCACAACTAAATAACCCTACTTTATATATATAAATATGATTACATAAACAAATTTTACAAAACATGAAGTGTCAAGATTATTTTATTTTATCAAAAAATTAATAGAAATAAACAAATAAACAAAAATTATCAAGTAAAGTTAAAAAAAATTTATGATCAAATTTTGGGACGGAGATATACTTGCATTTTCAATTATTGGTTATTTTATCTACTCCAAATCCAACACTTTGTTTTAAAGTTTTGATAAATTTATCTAATAACAACCAACTTTAACATTTTGACCAAAGTTGCTCAATTCACCTTCATTATGGTTAAATTCATACTCTCTAGTGTGTCGGATTGACCCTCTTTATTGTTAACACAAATCTGAGTAATGTTAATCATAATGGATGTGGATATAACAATATCCCTAATAAAAAAAATCAAAATGTTGTATATTTGGAATACATATTTAGTGTATCTTAAAATCTCTTAAAATGAAAAAAATAGATTAGGTATACCAAAAGTGTAATTCAAGTACTCTCATACCACATACTCTCAATGTAAAAAAAACTCCTACAACTCCATCCCTCCATTAATTTTTTTGTTACTTATTATTTTGGACCGTCCAAATTTTTTTTTCTCGTTAATTTTTTTTCTTACTTATTATTTTGGACCGTCCAAATTTTGTTTTCTCGTTTCCTATTTTGACAAAAGACTTTTAATGAATGTATCATTATATCTAGCGGCCGGGAAATTGGCGCTCATATGTATGCGTACTCCGTAGTCCGTATAAGCTAGCGGTTTTAGTATGCATCTTGGTAACAAAAAAGTTTCTAGTGCAATTCTATAAATTCCATATTTGGACTTGGGCATGATGTTTGATTGACTAATTTTGTCTTACATTCCAACTTGCCATTCTTGAATTTCTCATATGAATATCAAGAAATCATTTTGTATTGCTTCATGAAGAGGTAACATCAGTCCCACTAGGAAACACAAAAGTGCTCAAGATTGTAAACCTGGTAGTGCAGAATTGAAAGGTTTCTGTAATGACAACAATGGCATTTTTGTCTAGAGTACATAGAGAACTTGATATGTACTTGTTCTTTTTAGCATGCAAATGTGGCCCTTTTCCATTTTTGAGTGTGACCTTTTTGCAATACAATTTTCTTCTTCTTTTTTAACAGTATCGCAAAAAGGTCACACTCAAAAATGGAAAAAGGCCACATTTGCATGCTAAAAGGAACAAGTGCATACCACGTTCTCTATGTACTCTGTCTTCTTCTTCTCCATGTTTTCATCATGGACAAAAATGTCATTGTTGGCATTACATAAACCTTTCAATTCTGCACTACCAGGTTTACAATCTTGAGCACTTTTGTGTTTCCTAGTGGGACTGATGTTTCCTCTTCATGAAGCAATACAAAATGATTTCTTGATATTCATATGAGAAATTCAAGAATGGCAAGTTGGAATGTAAGACAAAATTAGTCAATCAAACATCATGCCCAAGTCCAAATATGGAATTTATAGAATTGCACTAGAAACTTTTTTGTTACCAAGATGCATACTAAAACCTCCATCCAAACAGACTGCAGGAAATTCAAATATCCGATTAAAGTAGACAACTGAACGCACACAAATCTAGTTGGCTAGAACCCAATCATATAGTTGAGGAATGAGCAAAATATACAATGTTAATGGATTATTAAGCATTGTAATAAAATGTCCAAATAGTGGTGTCATATGTTATGCACTCTAAGTTATACAAATGTCAGGAGAAAGGAGTAGAACAGGTACAACTAATAGCTTAAGCATGATTTTCTTGGATCAATGAAAGCAAAATAATGAAGTTACCTTTGTTTTCAACACTGGATGCCATTGTGCCCAGCTTGCCAATATGCGCCTATGAGGATCAATTCCCCTGTCAGAGAGAAGGAAGGGAATCTAAAGATTTGGTAACTAGATAAGGCATTATTTTCATAACAAGTTGCTTGTGTAGGCCAAGTATTTTCCCGTAGAAAAGCCTAAAACTAAACAATGAAGTTGTCAAATGAGTGCTTTACCACTCATACTCAAAGAAAGCTACTGCATACCAATCCATTCGTCGAGTAATTTAGTAATATACCATATTAGTAATTAAATGATATTCTCATCCTTCCCAAAGCAGTAGGAGGACATACAAGCTACAAACTAAGGCAACAAGTCACAACAACTACACACTAAGCCTTGATATTTTAACAAAACCATTCAATTTCTAATGTTCCATATGTGCCTAAATAGATTACAAACTACATTACTCTAAAACCACAAGCAATTTCTATAACATATTTTCAACAAAAATTAACAAAATTGACTGTTAAAAAAAGAAGATATGAAAAATTGAAGCGCAAGTGTTTGCGCGATTCATCATTAGCAGCCGGAATTAACAAAATTAGAAAATTTCACCGGCAATTTGCACAGATTTGCAGAATTCACGACATTCATAACAATGGAGTTAGATTGAACTCGACAAATTAACAACAATCGAATCAAACATATAATTCATTCGCACATGCAAATATTCCAACTCAACATTTAATTTCTCTCAAAGGGAAGCTCTTAGCGGAGATTCCATGAACAGATGAATTGATCAATGCGAAAAAGTAAACTACTAAGCAACCGGCAAACGAACGTTTCTCCATTGACAAATGCAGTGAAATCAGAAGGAGAGAGAGATGAAAACCTCCTTGGCGCGGTTCTCAATGAGGCCGATCACGAAGCTTGAAGAACTCTCTCCATTGCCGTCGCCGACGTCCATGATGCTTCTGACTCTACTCAATGCTCAGCTCGCACTTTGAAACTTCCAATGGCGAGTCGGTGAACAATGCTTGACCAGAAAATTCAACGGATTGGGCTGAGATAAAAAAAAGGCCCTAAATATAAAGTCTAGCATATTAACATACGGAGTATGTAAACTAATTATACATAAATCATAATTAAAGTAATCTTATTAGAAGAAAATAAATAAATGACCAAAGTGTTTCTTATCCAACTTGATACTTTCTCAATCTTCATCTCGTTTCTCTTTTTACTTTTTTGACTACCAGATAAATGTTTAGGACCTATAGCTATTGTATTATTTCTGAAATAAAATTCAAATTCATAAATTTTACTACTTAGTAAAATCAAATATGGAAAAGCAAGCAAATAAATTCATAAATCATAAACTCATATCAATTGATTCAATTCATCATTTTTCCAGTTTTTTTCTTTTTCAGTCTTTTTATATTTATCTTAAATTCATGTCAATTTATCAATTTTTCAGTTTATATATATATATATATATATATATATATATATATATATATATATATATAATAAATTTAAATCAATTCATCCAAGTCAAATAAAAAATATATGGAACCATTAATTCATTCATAATTCATAGAAATTAAAAAATATTTTAAACTAAAAATTAATAATTAACCCTAGATTTTAAATCTAAAGAATGAAACAATGAAAGAAAGAAAATTAGAAAAAAATTACTAAATTGGAAAGATAGTGAGTACGGAATACCTGGAGAGTGCAGCGGCGTCTGGAGGCGGCGGCTGCGGCGTCTCTCTACCGGCGGCGTTCTCAGCAGTCGGCACACTCTTTCCGATTGGGTTTCGGCAGTAGCTTCGTCTCCAGGCGCCTCGCGTTAGTTGTCTAGTGTCTCCGAAGCAGGAAGGGATGGGGCGGCTAATGAGATGGGCTTTTACACATTGTGCTGGGTGCTGGGCTTCTTATATACATACATATAATATTATAAAGTAATTGGGCCCCTTACAATCCTGGACCCGGTCCGGATGGACTGTTTGTCCCCCTATTGAGCCAGCGGTGAAGCAAGGGTAGTTTCCGGATTAAGGGGATGGATTCCTGATTTTTAAAACAAATTCTTTTCAATTCAATGTGTGTTCAGCGAACACAATGTGTGTCCAAACTCATTATTGATTTGCTTTTGAATTTAAACTAGACTCGTACCCGTGCGTTGCACGGCCTAATTATAAACTATATAATTAGGGAAAGCATTGATGAAAGAAAATGATAAATTCAATTATAATAATAACATATAATTAAATAATAAAGAAATTGTAAATACTATACATGTTTATCATGAAAGATCACTTCTATTGAATCTTTTTCTCTTGAATAAGCCGAAACAAATTAGACGAACAACTCATAGTGCAAGTGGTTCGACAATTGTCTATCTCGGCAAGCGCATTCCTCATATTCTTTGAATGTTTTGAGACATTTTTTTAAAGTGAATCGAATTGGGATGAAAGGTATAAAATGTTTGGAGTATATATAATTGGACAATCAATCTACTTATTAAATATCTTGATTTAGTATATCTATTCCAGAAACATGATTTGACATAAAATTTAAATCGAGTCACCCACTAACTTTACTACGGACGCAGTTCCATAGCAATACATTCCTCATTTATTTATTTTGATTTGACATAAGTTTTTCATCGAGCCACGCACCAACACTACTACGCATGCGGTTCCATATCAATACACTACATATTTATTTATCCTGATTTGACATAAAGTTTGTATCGAGCCACGTACCAACATAACTACGCACGCGGTTCCATATCAATACACTACCTATTTATTTATTTCGATTTGACATAAAATTTGGAAAATGAAGTTATTTGTCCATCTATTAAATGCCTAGAAATAGAAAAAGTATAAATTAAATCGATTTGAAATAAAGCACGTTGAACAATGGATAGATTTGACACTATTATTTAATAGAGAAATGCACCCATGATTTGACCTGAAGATATTCAAGCTAGCAACCGCGTAAGTCAACCCACTTGGCCCGATCCATACACGAATTGACTACCCGTCAATCTACCCACTTGGCCCAGTCCATACCCAAACTCACTACATGATGGTTTTGGCGGGAACACTATTCTCAAACCCATCCTAGCATTGTATAGAGATCATTGTATAGAGTAGGATGATATCATCAAATCACAAAGAAAATTATATTGTACGAAGTAGAATAGAGTATTTAAAAAAAACATATGGCTTATGGCATTTTTTTTCTTTTAAAATAAATCAACCATACATGTCTCATTTTAATAATTTTCTCAAAGTAGGTAAAATCAAATCAAGTTATTTTCAAAGAAGAGGGTACACATAGGATGAAGCACATAATATTTATAACACAATTATGAACATGTTGAGATAACTTTACCTTAACAAAGTCATACAATTACATCAAAACACTCATAGTTCATATCTTTGTTAAGAGCCAAAACCTTTTTTAGATTATAATTGATAAATAAGATCCATCTTTTTCAAAACAAAGTTCTTATCTATGTTAACCCATCAAGTGTGAAACATACACTTTCTCCACTAAATTTGGGGCGCTCCGAAAGTAAAATCACCTTGAATTGAAGGCATTTGTTGTTGATATTACAACCATTTCTGGTGCGAAGAATAAGCATGTCCACCAAGCTCACCCAAAAGAAAAATATTAAAGAAATCATTGCCAAACCAAAAGATACTCCCTCATCTCTCCAAAGGGATCAGGAGTTATTTCATACACTTTTACCCAAAAAAAAGTATTCTAATCAAATGATACTAATTTTTCATGTAAATTACCAAACCGAGTCACATGCAGTCTATATATGCACAACATTTGATTCTGACCAAAAGTTTAATTTGAACATTCAAGGAGTAGGAGTAACTTAATTATACTCCATCAAATCTCTAGTATCATGGGATTCAAAGGCATTTTGGGCTTTTTGCTTCTTAACAAATTCTATAAATGCAAATCCTCTATGGCTTTCAAACGTCATCTGTAACCTTAAGCTCTTTATCTGTGAGTGAAAAGCATTTCACAAGGTTAAACAAAATGTGTAATACACGGTACATGTTAGAGTATTCTGAACAACTGAAGAGAAAAGCATAATCATAACGAAAATTGAAGTTGATTCTTTAACACATTGGGTATAAAGATAAGAAAATAAAAAATACCCGTACTACATGGTAAGCAAATTGTAGCAGTGCATTATTAAAATTATCTACCATGACAAACTAAATTTTATTAGAGACTATATATCCTAGCTCAGATTCGAGTTGTTTTAATTCTTAATATCCTGCACATAAAAAGATGTGAACAGATAGACAAAGGGTAAAGACAAATTTGAGGACAACCTCTACAAAATGAATAAAAGTATCTGAGGACAATATTAAAGGCCAAAATATGAACAAAGATTGAACTTAGGAACATCACTCTTAAAATCTGATCAATTGTCCCTAATTAGGAGCATGGTTCAAATACTTTCTTTTGTGGCCCCTCGTCCAATTAGTCATCATCAAAATCTTGTTCTTGATAAGATGAGTTAGCCTATTTCGTTGGAGACTTTTTTTAATCAAAGAAGTCTTAGTTTTAACAAATTCAACATCTAGATTCAAACATAATCACAACTTATAATTTTAACTTTAAGATCCACTACGAAAAAACCAAAATTAAATATTATTATATGAAATTGGAACATTATACCTTTGACCATGCTTTCTCTGGTGTTGGTAGTCAAAGTCATCCATTGTTGAGGTCCCTGCCCAATTAATGATCTAATTTGAGATTATAACCAAACAAATATTTTAAGAAGTAAACTTTGCAATGAAAAGAAATGAAAAATATAAATCTTGGGAAGAAATTTAATTCCTTCAAGAATTCATGTGTACGTAAACATGTACTGGGAGAGTAGTAAGAGTACAACTCCAAAGATTGGAACTTTAAAAATGAAGAAGGTAGAATGGGCTGACATTAATATAAACATACACATGAAATAACCTATAAGAATTGCTTCTCCAAATGTAAAGGTATAACCTTGAAATACCTCATAGTATTACTGTTTCTTCAGAACTCAACAAAATTAGTTCATAGAGTACATGTAAACATACCTGCATAATGGATAAATTGTTATGATACATATGCATCCAAATCCTCCAATATCGGTAAGCTATTGTTGAGATTTGTTATTTATAAAAAAAATGAATTCAAATTATCTAATATTTGAGAAGTCTAGTTTTAGGAAAATTAATCCAAAAAAAAAAATAAATCAAAATAAAAGAAAATCAATAAAAAAAATTCTCCGACACAGAAATTGGTCGTGGGCCATCAAATATGACCATTTTGTCCTTTAATATTCTTTTTCTTCCCAAAATGGTTCTCTGTTTAATATCTCTCAAACAGGCACTCAATTTTAGGGATAAAGAAGCACTTCAAAATGATTCCATCCATTTCATGGGATCATTTTGGCATCGTTTTCAAACATCAAGATGGCAATTTGAGACAAATTGAAACATATAGATGGATGCATTAAAGGCAATCAAGAGAAAGAGTACAATCCATAACCCTAATGGAGGTGAGGGCAATTGAGAGTAATTTCATAGCAGTGCTTTGTAAGATCCCCTGCAAGAAGTCTCACTGGTAAGCCATGACTCCTCATCCATGACTCTTACTTTCTTCCACTGGTATTTGCTAAATAATCTATAAGAATATAGTGAAGGGGATAACCTAATCTGACATGATTAACTTGCATATTCCTGACCATTTTAACTCCATATCAAGTATCGACCATAATTCCATATTGGTGTTCACCAAAAAGCTCTATAGCATTCAAGCAATCTTTAATCTTTATAAGAACAAAAATTATATATTAAAATAAATTATATTCAGAAGCAAAAAACTCAACTTTTCATATTTTCAAAAATACTAACATTGAGGAGTGGATCCATTTAGCCTCCAAGAGTCCAAGGCACCCATTAAAAATTTGAATGTTCTTCCACATGCTGTTTTGTGATCTGCAGATGCAACGTAATGGGTTACATTTGGGTCCAAAATCTTTAGTATTATTTCACCTTATATGCCTCTCAAACATATAAACAATAGCCTTTAAATTTAGATATTATGTTAATTTAAATATGAATCAAAACACAAATATTCTTAAACTACAAACATATAAAATGTGTTCCCCTTTCTTCACCTTTTACTCATCAAAGATAAGTGAACAACACGGCACCAAGCTTCTTTTTTTAGAACCAAAGTATAACTAATACCCAACAACTAGAGAGACCAAAAGACAGTAGAATTCAAAATTCTCTGCATAAGTTCACATTCACAATGAAACAATTTAGTTTCAAAAATTTAGAAAATCATACATTTAAAGTAATGAAAGCTAGTAAATACGGAGTAGAAAACATATTAAAAGTTGAGATAAATAAACCTTTTTTGATTTTGAAAGTAATTACCTTGTCCAGTTACAATTGTGTGCCAAAGGTAACATCTTGCATTGTGAAGCAAATTCTGCATAGTTTCATACAAAGGAGCTTAACATTCTGACACAAAATAAGAGACCAGATAAGTTTAAAAAGAATTATTATTTGAAAAGAAATTGGGTTAATTTTTTTTAAAATTGAAAACAAATATGAATTTCTAAAGCTTTTTCATAAGCAAATATAACAGACAAAGGCTATAAGCAAATATCCTAGTCTCCTTTGACAAAAACATTAAAATCTTGCTCTCAATATATATAAATTATAACAAATCAATTGAAATAGAAATAACAAAATAGTGTTGTCGCCAAAAAATAATTAATTTCATAATAATACTAAATTAAAATTCATGGAGCTAATTTCTAGATATCAGTACTAATTAAAAGTGATTAATTCATGGAGCTAATTTCTAGATATCAGTACGTTCTAATTAAAAGTGATTAATCAATCACCAAAAAATAATTAATTTCATAATACTAAATTAAAATTTAAAAAAATTGCATATCTTAATCTTTTTTAAAATCATTATTCTGCCTCCACACTCTATGTGTTTTATCCTTGTGCTTCATCTTCTCCAACTCATACACTTAAGTTCACATCAAAGCTGAAGACAACAACCTGTGAGAAAAGAGGATGAGGGATGAAAATAGATCAAGGTTCCAGCAACTAAATTGAACCAAAGAGGCATTCCCTCAAACACATATCGAGCATTGCTCCTACAAACCAATTCCCTTTTTTACTACAAAATTAGACATATTTTTAAGTAAATATGTAACAGCAACTATGTAGACATGTAGATTAAGAAAATGGGATATTGAAATATAGATTCTCTTACCCATGCCTTAGCCTAAATTTTTTCATGCTCTTAGAAGATTGAGACGAAGGAATGGGAAAGAATCTGGCTTTTACAGTTAGAGTACCCGGTCTGATCTACACGGCATCTAAGATCTATTATATTGGATGCAATGTTTGATGCTGCAAAATGTTAAAGATTGTGTAATTGAAGCCATTAAAAGAAGATTTACAAAAAAAAGTTTTCCATAACTGAAAACGCACCTGGTTGAGCTCTTTGACTTCTTCTTCATCGCAGGCATCTTGATAGATCTAATACACGGAATCGAGACACTGTAGCTGCAAAATTTTTCCGAAGGCCCTCTGCTCACAGCCATCGGAATCCAGCCAGGCTACCGTAGAAAACCTAGCCAGCGCTGTTGTCTCCCCTTCTTCCGCTCAATGGCCCGTTGTCCATAGCCATGGGTCAAAACCCTAGCCCCTTTGCCGTGTCTAGATAAACGAAAAAGAGTATGTTCCTGACATGAAATAAAGATCACACGATGGAAGCGTACAGAAGAAGCTGGCGGGAATAATTGGCCAATACACTGTTCCAATTTGCATCCCATCTTTGTATAAGTAAGATTATTTTTTCATATTTTCTCGTTCATCTTAAAAAACATAGAATGATAATACAAATTAAAATTTAAACACCATAACTAAAAAAGTTGTACTCCTTAGCCATCACGCAATGTTTATTATTCTTTAAACAACATTCATTATTTCATCATTTTATATTTATTTTAACAAATGATTAGTGAAAGAATATAAACAAATAAAATTATTGAGAAATCTTAATAATAATAATAGTAACAAATATTGTTGGACAATGGGTCTATATAAATGAAAAATGCTAATCTTAAAAAAAAAGAAAAGGCAAAAGGGGGAGCCTTAGAAGAATTTCGAAGACGAAATTCTTTTAAGATAGGAAGAAATGACCTTTAACTGAAGATCGTTTATGAAATTTACTTCAAAAAATTTAAAAATTTGAGAAATACTGGAATTTAAAAAAATGTAATATCTTAAATTAAATCCAAATCTCACAAGCACCTCGTTAATGAAGAAAGCCTATTGCTAAAAACGAAAATGACTATTACAACCTCTCTTTTCCCATTATCTCCTTGCATTCTTCTTCCTCTTCTCAGTGAGTTGTGTATAAAAATTTTCACATTAAAATTATTTCAAAACATATTAAAGTACTTCAATAAGATAAGACATAAGTAATCTAGAACATATATCATATTTCTGGTGTCTCGGAACATACTGAGTGACTTGTTTTTATAAGTAAATTTCTGAACGAACGCATTGGTGGATGAAATGATAGAATTTTCGGGTAACATTCGAATATTGGTTAGTAAACATTCCAATGTTCCATGGCGGATCATTTTGAACAGTTACTTCTATAATTCGTGTGAACCTTTGCAACTTATTAAGTTCGAACGTTCAAACATTCGAATGTATCGATCGCAATTTTACACAAGATGTTTAAGATGAACAAAACATTGGAATGTTCATTATGTTGATCTCCAAAATAAAATTGTTCCCAGCGGTCCTAGTCGACCTTGCCCAGGGGCCCCTTGGACGTCGCCATGGGCTATTGCTCTTGGACCTTGCTCTCGAAGGCTGCTGCTGCCCTCGGACCTCATTATAAAACTTGTAATATCGTTGAATGAACGTGCACTCCATATTTCCAAATTCATTAATAAAGTCTATTGAAATTCTTGTCTATTATAAATAAATCCCAATTACATGAAATAACCGACCACACTAAAATCATCAATATTTTATCTTCACTTTCTATCACTTTTCATCCACTATGTTACGTGCATAGTATGAAGTATTTTCTTGAATGTTATTGACTCTATTATAATGTAGCATCTATTTATACTATTCTCAATTTAATGACACGCAATATGTCAACGTCTTGACTTTCGCTCGGGCTCGAATGCAGATGAACTTCTCAGGAATATAAGTTCTACATTACTCTGGGTATTTTATTATGAGTATTATAACACCACACTCTTCTCTGTTGGGGATAAACGAAGATAACTCGGATGAATTTGAGAGTCGTGTGGCACTTTTAGATTGATTGTTTTGGTTGTTCAATCCAAAAATCATTTGGATAAAACTCAAATTTTTTTCAAAAGCAAGTATATATGGGTTGATGTGGATTTTCGAACTATGCTTTGGGCCTTTGGCGACCAAGGATCAATTGATTTTATAGAGTTGCGGAAGGGAAGAAGCCTGCGATCGTGTCTCTCGTCCAAAAAGTGCATCCTTTTGCGCAATTTTGAGAAAAACGGTGTTTATCCTTTTTCGAAAATTTTCCTTTAACAAAATTCGAAAATTAAAAATTCAAATAAATTTTTAACATAGCACTTGAACACTGTTCGAGACTTTTCTTGAACCTTGGACTGCGCAGGGAATACCGCCCCTTGAACCCGCCAAGGGGCGCTGCCACCTTGGAACCCCCGTTAAGACGAGACTTTTATCATAACAAACTCAATGAAGCGTGCACTCTCCGATGATGAATTGGAAGATATTGGGCTAAAAAAAGGGAAGAATTGAAATCTCACCATACGTGCGTCGCTGCTTGTTCAAAAACTCTCCAATAAATTCAGGAGGTTGAATTGTGTCACCTTGATTTTCATGAAACTCAGGTGAGAGCTAGAGATGCCCAAACAATTGAATAAATTGAAAGAAAAAAATAGAAATCACTCTAAATAAGACTAGAACATACTCCGTATAAGAAAGTACCAAAATAAATTTTCAAGAAAAAACATTCTTCAAGTGCTATCGTCATTTATTGTTGAAAAATCTGGAGTGTGACCAAAATCAAATTTTAGGACTTGATAATGTTCATGGATCAATTACCATCTCAGAATGTAGAGTAGATGTTGGTTAGGTATGCATTGAATGACATTTAAAGAATAATGTAGCAAATGAATGATTCATACTCCGTATATATTATTCATAAAATAATACTCACTCCGTCCCGTAAAACATGAGATATTTTGTTTTTTGAAGAGATTTAAAGGAAGTGTATTTTGGTATTGAATTTCCAAAAATGTCCTTTGATGTGATGGGTAAAAGTAAGATTTGATGGGTAGATTATTAGTAAAAAGGTATGATGTGATAGGTAGGGTATGAAAAAGGAAGGGGTAAAAGTGACTTTTTAATAGAAATAAGAAGTGTTTTTTGAGACGGATAAAAAAAGAAAGGAGAAAGGTTATCCGGGATGGAGGGAGTAATTCTTTGTTTGTCCCATCGGATTCAATGTAATTATATGGTCTTCCATGTTTGCACCGATTTATTTAATTATACTCCGTATATTGACTCGATCGATTATATATATAGCGAGACTGCATAAAATGAACACAATTGCTTTATAAAGTCAGCTCCTTTTTTATGATGTGGTTGCCCCGAACTAACTAACTCCGGTCCGTTGTTTTTAGAACATAACGGAGACAAGCAAGTTTAGTGATACAACGACCCTGAATTCTAGATCCTGATCAAACTGAACGCAAGTATGTTTGTTATTATCACGTTTTTAATCAGGTAAATGTTTGTATAAAAGTTAGGGATGTTTTTTTTACATTCAAGATTATCATATATGTCAACATGTATGGTAACCTTAAATAGGATTATATATTATGGGTACCTCTATTTTGATACTACAAGTTTGTTTCCAACAAGTTGCATACATTTATTGTACGCAGGGGCGGCCTTGGGCCTGTGCAAGCTGTTCAACTGCACAGGGCCCAAAAAAACAAGGGCCCAAATATTTTTTAGAGGTAGTAATATTACTAGTATACTAAAGATGTAATAATCGGCCCAAAATGGTAAAACATACTCTCTCCGTCCCCTGTATTTGTCCACTTTCATTTTTACACACCATCCAATGCACTTATTTAATCCATTTTATCTTGTAATTTGTATATTAAAAAATTATAAAAATTATATATTAATAATCTAGATGTTAAGACAAATCAAACAAGATCACACATGGCTATATTTAGACTTACACATTGAGAGAATTTGATGAGTCAAAGTGATTAGATGAATAGTTCTAAAAATCATTTGTGGACAAATACAGGGGACGGCGGAGGGAGTATAACATCTGCGCCATTGCGCATCGCCTCACATCGCCGCAAAGAAACCGGAAGAATTGAAGAACGAAGGTCGGAAGGTGGAAGAAGAAGATTTGCCGCGCCGTCGCCTCACATCTACGCCGTCCAGCACTTCTCCATCCGCTAATTACCCTTCAGTCTTCACTCTTCTGCTCTTCAGGTATGCTTGTATGAACATGAACATATGATTTATTTTAATTTATTGATTTTAATGATCAAATCCCTAATATTTTTAGTTGTTAAATGTGTGATCTATGTTTTCTTGTTCTATAGTTGAATAGTTTTATGAAATTTGATTTTTAATTACAATGATTTAGCACTTTAGCAATTTAGCCAATTTGAGATTTTAGGATTCTCTAAAAAATCTGTTTGTCACTGCCTGGGTTATTTTTTATCAGAATATAAATAAACATACTACATGGTTATCAATTTCTCATAATATTTTTATACTACACTTGTAGAATGGTTCTTTATAACAAATAGAATGAGTTATTTTTTATCAGAATATTTCTTCCTCATTATAACAAATTCAATAATTAGTATGAGACTTCTTTAAATTTAATTTTTATCATATATGATAGTCAATTGAGGCCAACCTTTTGTTTTTGCACAGGGCCAATTTTTTCTTTGGACCGGCCCTGATTGTACGGATTATAAGTTGGGATGTGAGTCATCGTGTGCACATTGTTGATGCATTTCACGAAGGGAGAAATTTCGCTAAATGGTACTAAAAGATATATAGTGACTTTTCCAATAATGTAGTACCATATATTTTTATTTCCTCATATAGTATTATTGTCATTGTCCATTGGTCATTATTTAAGTAAATGTCCAGCGTCATTGGACATTGTTCAAATTAAATGTCCACTAGCACTAGACATTATTCCCATACATTATTCAAATACTATTTATAGAATAAAAAAAAGTTTAAGTAAACATTAAGAAATTACATTCTCCGTATGTTTTAGTACTATTTAGAGCATGTTCTTTAGGACTTGAACTCTTAACTTCCAGTTCTTTCCAGTTCCTTCCAGTTCTTTCCAGTTCTTTCCAGTTTCTTCCAGTTTCTTCCAGTTCTTCCAGTTTGTTCCAGTTCCTTCCAGTTTCTTCCAGTTTTTTCCAGTTCCTTCCAGTTTCTTCCAGTTTTTTCCAGTTTCTTCTAATTTCTTCCAACTATATTTATTTTCTTAAAATTCTTTCTACCTTTTGACAAATAGCTCTAAAAAAAATATATTATTATTATTATAATTATTATTATTATTACAATTTTTTTTAATTACAACTTTTATGTTCATAACTATAGTTTATAAATTATTTAATTTTTTCATCTCACTATTTTTATGATTCACATTCATTATTTTTTTCTTCAACTTTTTAATATGAATAATACCAGTTCTATATTTTTATTCAGAAAATAGGGTTTTAATGGAAATAAATTGTCAATCCTTAAAGAAATATAAGTTTGATTACATTATGTGACATGTCAGATATTTAGAACAAAATCTTGTAATGTATAAAATATAATTACAAATATATTATTTTATAATAAATACAGCATAGCCATAATAACTCTTAACTATTTAACATTTTGATATTTATGCTAATTTTGTATTCTAATTAATTTTTTAAAATATCTTTTTATGTATGAAAAATAATATTCGTAATATTTTTTTTATTTTAAAGACAATCATTTGGATAACGTGATAACACAACCACTACCACCACCACCACCAACAACAACAATAATAATAATAATACTAATTATTATTATTATTATTATTATTATAGTAATAATAATTTATATCCACAAGAATCAGAATGAGAATAATTTAAAACCACACATAAAAATTTTTTAAAAACTTTTTTTAGATTTTACAACTTATTCTAGTTTTTTCAATTTCATTTAATTTTTTTTAATTTTTTTCAGTTTTTTCAGTTTTTCCAGTTTCTTCCAGTTCCTTCCAGTTTCTTCCAGTTCCTTCCAGTTTCTTCCAGTTTCTTCCAGTTCTTCCAGTTCCTTCCAGTTTTTTCCAGTTTCTTCCAGTTCCTTCCAGTTTCTTCCAGTTTCTTCTAGTTTCCAGTTTTTTTTCCAGTCCTAAAGAACAGGCCCTTAGTGTAAATTTCTTTTGATTAAGCTTGTTCACCCAATTCTAGAAAGATAAAGCTAAATATTTACTTCATATTATCTTTCCTCTAGAGTATTCGTCTAATTTAATTTTTTTAATTAATACTCGGTACTTTACTAATTTGTCAATGTTTAAAGGTTCATGCAATACTACGCTGGACTAATCATATCTGATGATATATATGGAATACCAATAATAACATCTATGGATTATTGGAATCTACTATACTAGCTAAACTAGAAACAATGAAAGGGGTTACAAAATCATCCTATTTCAGAATAATAACTTAATGCTTATTAACTTAATCCATAATATTTTTGTTAAAAAGGAAGCTTTATATGGTTAATGATTAACTCAATTCTTATTAAGAGATAAGTGTAAATATGTTTATTGAAGAATTTGTTGGTAATGAAAAAATTACTACAGGATACTGGTCTTTTATAAAAATTTTTGTATAAACAGTATGCAAGGGGTGTACCAAGAATTTTCGTGAGGAGAGCATTTGGGCAACTTTAGTACTCTCTCCCTCCGAAAATGTTCTTCCCATTTTTTTAAGTCTGTTCGATAATATTCTTCTCATTTTGTTTTTTAATCTATTTTTAAGGATAAATGTAAATAATGTCCTATTTTACCTCTAATATATATACTTTTTTATTATTTTTTAATATGAATTTTTTAATAAGAATTTTTTACTACTATAATGTCAACACGTAGGGAATACACGTTCCTTAATGAGTTCCTTACCAAATTTAAACTGAAGTGGCTATTAGATGGTAATTAAAAAGATTAGGTTGTAATTAAAAAGGTTAAAATTTTAAGCATTGATGATTCATCAAGGCAACCGAAAGCTTAAAAAAAAATTTGTCTAAACAATGGTGTTTGTTGACTAGTGCTATACTTGCTCTTGCGGGTGTGGCGAAGTTCCCCTTAACCGGAATTTGGGGCTAGTGCCTTCATATTTTAAAGAATTGTTACGTGAAGAACGTTGGTCATGTGTGTTTCAATTATCTCGTGACTGAAGTTATATGGGCCAAGTCATATTGAATATCTGTTGGATTTATATAAGGAAGAACACTGCGAAACAGTGCTAAAAGAAGAACTTGATAGTATAACGAATTGCGTATGAAACGCTTTCACATCAAAGTTATTTCGGGGTATACGAAATACTTCAATCGGATAAGACGTTAATCAAGAACGAGCACTCAAGAATCGGTCACTCAACCCATACCATGAGACTCTATTTTATAGAGTCGAAAATCTTTGTGATCGGACATGAACGTTCGCGTAGATGTACTCATACGTTCGCGCAAGAAGAAGAAAGGTGCGAGTTTGAACGAAAGGTCTCATGCGGTTTAAGGCTCAATTTCGATGTTTATCCATCGTGTACGAGTCCTTTACCGTTTTAGACTCCGGTCACGAAAAGCTCGACCCCGGCCAGGGGCTCTGCCCCTTGGACCCCGCCAGGAGCTGCCACCCCTTGGGCCCCACTACCCAGGGGCTGCCGCCCCCGGACCCCGCAGTGAATTTATAATATCATTGAACGAGCGCGCACTCCGTGCCTCCTAACTCGTTTGACAACGTCTATTTAAATTCTTGTCCGATCGAAGTAAATCCAATTACACAAAATAAATTGATGACACTAAAATCATCAACAATATCGTGAGTGTTTGTGTTTGCTGAATACAGTATAAAGCTAGAGTATGTGCTATTTGTAACACGATTAGTTTTAGAAGATTCGATAGCGCATGAGGCCCTACTAGTGATATTGGAGCTAAGGTCACTAGTTCGTTTCCCAACGGGAACAATCACACAATGGGAACTTGTTAGGCATGTATGTATCAATTGTCCCGTGACGGAAGCTATAAGGGCCAAGTTACAATCGAATATCGTAGGCGATTGTGTTTACTGGATGCCTAGATGCAATAAGAATTGATAACGTCTGAGGTCCTACAAAGAATCCATTCAAATATTCGAATTATTAAAAATAAAGATCCAATTTATATCTCAAAAATTGAAGAACATCAAGAAAAAATTATTTTGGATTTTGGTATAAATTAAAAAAGATTTCAACAAGAGGATTGGTTGCCCCTTGCACCCGCCATTGAAAACAATTGATGCCTACACTCACTCAAACAAATGACACAAAGAATTAGGGAAGTACGGAGTACATAACACGGCTCTTTGAGAACAACTTTTGTAAACAGACACAAAATTGGTTGACAAATTGACCCAAAAAACACGATCCTCCCTCCACATCCCAACCAAAGAAAATGAGTGATATTGCCATTCCGAATTCTTGGACGGTTGCATTGAGACTCACATTCAGTATCACATTCACTTATTTGGAATATTTATGTTGCTCTGTTTGTAAATTCAAAAATCTAACAAAATTTGTGAGGTACAATTGACGAGAGTGGGTGATGAGTTTGGGTCAGAATTGGTGATGGAATTTATTATGGGTTAGAGGGGTAGAAACAAGCTATTTTGTGTGCGGAACTTGTAGTTGTCGAGTGCCATCCGTTGATAGTTGATACTAATTTATAGTGTTAAGGTAACCATACCAAACTCTTTGAAAGGAGATAACACGATCAATATTAGGAAGCTGTATAACTATCTTTAACTTCGATGTTTTGAAACTATTACGGAATACTTAATCAATATATATTAGTTTTAATAATTCTAAAACTAGTCTACATCACTAAAAAAAATTGTTTAAAAGATTATCATTGATAAAAACTACTTAGGTCATGTTCTCTCCATCTGACCTAATTGGTTCTGATCTGATTGAAATAAATTATGTTCTGACCTGATATGCTCTGATAAAAAAATAAATTAAAGAGAACTTGATCTTAGAAACAAAGTCTATTATATTTTTCAAGAAAAAAATGATAAAACGTCATAAGTAAAATCTAATATCCTAAATCCAAATCTCACAAGCCCATCATTAATGAAGAAAGCCTATTGCTTAAAACGAAAATGGCCGTTACAACCTCTTTTTTCCCCATTATCTCCTTGCACTCTTCTTCTTCCTCTGCTTGCTCTGCGCAATTTTTATTTTTTTTATTTTTGCTCAAAACCACTTCCTCCATCAATTCGGGTCATCAAGATTCTTCCTCTTCTTTTTTCTTTTCTTTTTATTGTTACTGTGAACAAACAAACAAACATCTTTATGGGACTTTTAATTCGGGCTTTCAATGCTTGAGCCGACATAGCCGCTCGACTATTATTGAAACCAAAAAACTGAAATTATTTTCTTCTGGTTCTGTATTTATAACTTTTAATGTAAGGAAGTGTTTGGTTCTTCTTAAGCTCCGTTCCGTTCAACTTATTTTTTCTGATGTGATCTGATTTTAATAAGTTCTGATCTGATCTGATCTGGTCTGATCTGATCTGATTGGATCTGATCTGATCTGATCTGATTGGATCTGATTTGATCTCATCTGATTGGATCTGATCTGATCTGATTGGATCTGATCTGATCTGATTGGATCTGATCTGATCTGATCTGATAGGATCTGATCTGATTGGATCTGATCTGATCTGATTGGATCTGATCCGATCTGATATGATCTGATTGGATTTGATCTGATCTGATTGGATCTGATCTGATCTGATTGGATCTGATCTGATCTGATTGGATCTGATCTGATCTGATTGTATCTGATCTGATCTGATCTGATTAGATCTGATCTGATCTGGTCTGATCTGATCTGATTAATTATGATTTAATTTAAAATTTCAAATTAATAATTTGATTTGACTTTATAATAACGTTTGAAAATTGTAATGATAATTCATAGTATAATATAATCAATATTTTTTATTTAATAATTATTTTGTAATAAAATAAAAATAGTTAATTCATATATTAGAATAATCATTCATATTATAATGTAATAATATTTTTTATTTTATGATTATTTTCTTATATTAGAATATTAATTTAATATTTTAATAATTATTTCATATATACATTAGAATAAATATTTAATTTATATATACATTAAAAGTAGAATTTGATTGACACTGTTAATGTATTTTAAAACTAATTTTGCCGACGTCTAATAATTAAGGATTACTTTCTCAGTTTTCTATTTAACCTATTTCTAAAGTTTATTCTTTTTCAGTTTTAAGAACAACAACAACAACAACAACAACAACAATAATAATAATAATAATAATAATAATAATAATAATAATTCTTGATGGGATCTGATTTTAATAAGTTCTGATCTGATTTGATCTGATCTGATTGGGTCTGATCTGATTTGATCTGATTGGATCTGATCTGATCTGATTGGATCTCATCTGATTCGATCTGATCTGATCTGGTCTGATCTGATCTGATTCTAATAAGAATAAGAAAAAATAAGAAAAAATAAGTTAACGGAACTGGGCTTATTCTTTATTCTTATTCTTCTTCTTATTCTTCTTCTTCTTCGATTTGATGATAGAGTAACATTTTTTTCTGGGTAGAGAGCCGTTGAGCTCCTTTTCAAACATCCATATTCATTGCCATTCTTAACTCCTCATTTTATAGACGTTTGTCAGTTTCTTTTGCTTCTTGAAGCACATATATACATAGTACTCCGTATATATATACTGGGTATTACAAGTAGATCCACTATTTCATTCTCTATTTTTCAGCTGCAAAATCAAAGCTTGCATGTTCTTGAATTTTTAGAGACAATATTCGATTTTTCAGCTGCCCTTTTAATTGTAAGCTTCGATTCTCTAAACCTCTCCAAATCTAGTTTGTTTGTGTTTGTCTTTCTTCTTTTTTTTTCGGGCAAAGATTGATTCAGATGGGATGAATGAACTGATTATGGGGTTTGATTTGGGTAATCTGAGATTAGATGGGATGAATGAACTGATTATGGGGTTTGATTTGGGTAATCTGGGATTAGACTTGTACTGTTAGGATTGAGATCATGTTCTGTTAATGAGTTTGTCTAGAACTTTAATATATTTGAGATTTGAGATTCTGAGGTAATTGTGTTGGAGTCAATCTGATTACCTTGGATTTCTTAAGATATTGTGTGATTTATCTTGGCAGTTTCCCATTTATGTCCTTAATCACTTGTCCTTGTATTTCATTTGAAACATATCAATATTACTTTCTCTATCCTGTTATTTTTTGAAAACGAGGGGAGGAAAACACAAATATTAAAAGTTGAATTGTGTGATTGATATTGAAGTGGAAACAAATGTAAAAAATATATGTGAGTCGCACTAATGTTACTCTGTATAAAAAATGGTATGTGACAAAATTGAGGGTTAAATTGTCCTAAAATTTTCTTTTCATTTAACAAAACACTTCATGTACTGGACATGTGAAATGACAATTAGGAAACCCCCATTGTGAAGGAAACCAAAAGAAGAAAAAAAGAAAGAAATTTGTTTGCATAGAATTCCACCCTTATCACTCAAGGAATAGTGTAATACTGAACAAAGAAAGTGCTCAACTTTTGCTTTTGCTTTTAACTATGCCTTCCATTTTTTTCTTCCAGTCTTTGGTCCCAGATTCTTTAGCACCAACTTTTTCTTTACCACTTTTTTTATGCCTCTTAGTCTTAATGCTTGTTTATAATGCCCTCAAAATTTTATATCTTCTGGTAAAAAAAAGTGTTACCATTGATGAAAAAGTTATTGAAGGCTGCCATTTTGCCCTTCTCTGGTAAGTGCAATGTATGCAGTAAATCTTCAACTTTTAGTGACCAAGAAACTGCAAAATTTTCAACTTTTTACACTCAACTCTTAAAAACTATGGCCTTAGGAATGTAATTCTTTTTCTTTTCCCAATAAATCAAAGGAACCACTTGTTTTTACATCACAATATCTTTGTCTTCCAAGTGCTGTAATTCTAAAGGTTTTATTTTCATAATTTCCTTGGGATGATTACACCAGCCTTTTACCAATTAATTATCTTTATGATACTTTCAAAATTACTTTTATGGTCTTTAGTGCTCTTGCTTTAAGTATACACTTTCAAAGTATCAGATAAATTGAAATTCACACCTCAAATATAAAAACATGGTAAAGGTGGGAAGAATGGCTTTTTTTGTTGCTTTTTTTGTTTTTTCCTCTTTTTATCTTGTTTTCCAAATCTAGTATTTCCGGATACTATAATTTCCTCATGTTCCTGTACTATTCATACTGATTATCACCTGTTTCATCTTCTTCTTGGGCTGTCAAACAGGATGCTCCCACCTAGAAGAGGAATCAACATTAAGAAAAACACAATGGGGCTCAAAGTCTTGTTACCATCGCATTTTGCCTTAGTTTTCTGCTTTCTAGCAGTTCTTCATGGGACTTCTGCATCTCTTGAATCTGATGGAAAAGCTCTACTAGACTTTGCTGCTTCTGTTCCCCATCGCAGGAAGCTCAACTGGAATTCATCCTCCTTGATCTGCAGTCAATGGGCTGGAATTAAGTGTAATAAAAATGGGACAAGAGTGATAGGATTCCATCTTCCAGCTTTTGGGTTTTTTGGTCCTATTCCAGAAGGGACTATTGGAAAGATTGATGCTCTTAGGGTTCTTAGCTTGAGAGGAAACCATCTCAGTGGAGCTCTTCCTTCTGATATATTCTCCATCCCTACCCTTCGATATGTTTATCTTCAAGATAACAACTTTACTGGAAAAATCCCTTCTTCATTCTCTCCCAGGCTTGTTTCAATTGATCTCTCCAGAAATTCTTTTACTGGAGAAATCCCAGCCACAATCAAGAACTTGACACGCTTAACTGTCTTATTGCTTCAGAATAACTTCTTATCTGGTTCTGTCCCAAATCTTGAATCCTCAAAGCTAAAGTTCTTGAATTTGAGTCACAACTTGCTAAACGGTTCGATCCCGGATTCCTTGCAGAACTTTCCAGCCTCTTCATTTCTGGGTAACTCTCATCTTTGTGGGAAACCACTCTCTCAGTGCCCTCCAACCAGAGAAATAGCAAAAGATCCAATTTTTAAGAAGAAGAAGAAGAAGCTCAGTGTAGGGACTGTGATTGCCATTGCCATAGGGTGCTCTTCTTTCGTAGCTTTCTTGGCATTGATGGTCTCCTTCTTATTCTTCAAGAAGAGAGTCTCCGACGGGAGTGAGGTGAAAGAGAAGGTCGCCAACGGCGGGAGGAGCGAGAAGCCCGAGGATTTCGGGAGTGGGGTCCAAGACGCAGAGAAGAACAAGCTGGTGTTCTTTGAGGGATGTTCATACAGCTTTGATCTTGAAGATCTGTTAAGGGCTTCTGCTGAGGTCCTTGGGAAGGGCAGTTATGGAACAGCCTACAAGGCATGTTTGGACGAGACGACAATGGTGGTCGTGAAGAGGCTGAGAGAGGTTGGAGCTGGGAAGAGAGAGTTTGAACAACAGTTGGAGCTTCTTGGAAGAATCGGACGCCATCCGAACATATTGTCTCCAAAGGCTTATTACTACTCCAAGGATGAGAAGCTTGTTGTTCATGAGTACATGCCTGTTGGCAGCTTGTTTGAAGCTCTCCATGGTATGAAACTTCCAAATTCAAATCTTTGAATCCAATCCTTAATCCTTGTTCTTGCATTGTCTTAGAGTACAAAACATTTTCTTGGGATTCTACTTTGTTGTTGTTTCTTTAACATTGTATCAGAGTCTTCTTGATTTCACAAAGATTGATTTTTTCACTTGTATAACAGGAAATAGAAGCACAGATAGAAGTCCTCTAGACTGGAGATCGAGGCTGAACATCGCCCTCGGGGCAGCAAGAGGGATCGCCCATATCCACGCCGAAGGCGGCGCAAGGTTCACTCACGGCAACATCAAGTCCTCCAACGTACTCCTCACCGCGAACCTCGCCCCGTGCGTTTCCGACTTCGGGATGGGCCCTTTGATGAACTACATCGCCGTGAAACACCGCGGGCCCGGGTACCGGGCCCCCGAGATGATCGAGGCCCGAAAGGTCACGCAGAAGTCCGACGTGTATGGCTTCGGCGTGCTCCTCCTTGAGCTGCTGACGGGGAAGTCGCCGATCCACGACGAGGTGGTCGACTTGCCGAGGTGGGTTCGGTCCGTCGTCCGCGAGGAGTGGACCGCCGAGGTCTTCGACGTGGAGCTGCTGAGGTGCGGCGGGGGCAACGCGGAGGAGGAGATGGTGGCGGTGCTCCAGATCGGCATCGCCTGCGTGGCGAAGCCGCAGGACATGCGGCCCGCCATGGACGAGGTCGTGAGGATGCTCGAGGACGTCGTGCAGCAAGTCGAGGACGGGAGCCGCCCGTCCTCGGCCGACCGATCTAGGGGGTCGTACACGCCAACCCCAGAGAGACTCTTCACTAAAGGTCAATATGACAACCCTTATTAGACCCTGTTTGTCTGGTGGAGAGATTTCGGAGGGATTCTCTTCCGAAATCTAGCTACCAAACAAGGGATTGCATGAGCATATAAGTCACCACTCCTATATTTTTTTGTAATAGTTAGTATATTACACTGATGCAATTTATTTTATTATTAGTGTATTAAAGAAGTAAATGTTGTTAATGTGATTGTTTTAGTTGCTCCTTGCGTAATACTATTAGAGTTCAATTCATTACCAAAGCTAATCTTGTAATTTTTGTTCTTGACAGAAACATAATACACTATCCAGTCTCATTATTTTTCGGACATGAAAGATTATCCCGGATACTAGAAATACAAGATTGTATAGTTCGTTTTAATGTCAAAAACTAAATTTAAATTAAGAATAAATACAAAGAGTAGGTCTAAAATGTAAATACACCAGTAGCACTGATGTCATTTGCTTCCACTAGTTCCATTGGAACATTTATGGAGTTATGGTGCCCTATTGGTAAAAATAACGGTTTCTATCTCCCCTAACCCTCCTCTTGAACCTCCGACCCCAACATTCTCTCTACCCTGGCAGTATACGTAATTGGTGTCATTTTAGACGCTCCAAATATAAAATACACAAATATATAACAAAAAAAACTTAAGTTTTTTAGTTTATTCATTTGACATTCTTGGTTGCAGATATTGACTTTTGACCAATGCTCTTGATCAATAATGTACTCTCGTAATTTCGTTAATATTCTAACAAAAGAGTGTTAATAACAAACGAGAACAATACAAAAGTGAGATAGATTGAGTAAAAAGTTTCATACTCGGTACTTTTTTTTCTATTCTCAAATACAAAACAACCTTACTTTAAAAAAAAAATATTGGCTAAAAATATTCTCTCTTCCCACACATATTTTCTTTGTCCCAAAAGAAATTGCTTGTTTAATTTTAATCTTTATTTTCACACTAGTTTTCAAATCGATTGGATTGAAAATAAATTTAATCAAGCATCGTAAACCGAACTTAATGTGTACTTTTTATTTCTTTACTAATTTCTAATTGCTTAAAAAAAAATATAAATAAACTAAAATTAAGAGAAAATGCTATTTTGCAAGTCATCCAAAACATGACGATTATACTCATACGAAGGAAGTAGAATAATTAATTGATTTTACATTCACCATAATAAGCAAGGGCTGCTTTGACCAACAACCCAAAGAGGGCAAAAGGGGCGGAGAAGAAAGGGCTATGGTCACTATCCAAAGAGTAGACCGTCGCCGGCGGCCACTTGTCGATCATCGAATCTTGTTGCTCCACCTTGACGACGTTGTCGTGTCTTGTTCTTATATAAATCCGAGGAACTTTTTCTACATTATTGTCCAATTCCGTAAAATTAGCGCTCGTTAATGCCTTAATCGGTCCTCGTCTCAACAACATTTCTGCCAACATTGAATCCTACAATATATACATATATAGAGTAAATATCGAATATCTAAGTAATGAATCTTGGATTTTTTATGGTAATATTGGAATAAGTAAATAAGGCAATGCAATAACGAAAATTAATTTTAAAATACAAAAAAATATAGATCGGTCTTAAGTCAGACATTTTTTCCACTTATTATTTATTTTTATTAGAATCAGATCAAAATAAGAAATAATTTTAAGTATTTTTTTATACAAGAAATAAATAACTTAAATATAACTACAAATCATATTAGAATTTAATTGGTTCAACTCAGAACTAATTAAATAAATTGAAGAGAACAGACCAACCAAGAATTGTTGGCTCAAGCCAACACAAAAGGTGCCCAAAGACAAAGCGAATCTTAAGACTTTGGACCTTAAGGGCTGACAAACTCTAACGTTGACTAGGAGCCGAGCAAAGCCCATTTTACAAATTTCTTTATCTGGCCACCAAGGCGTTTCCTCCTTTTAACTAATTAGGGCTTTCTGTTGGGCTAGACCTTAAAGTCCCATCTTCAATAGGCTTGTTATTCCGGACCAATATATCTATGATCCATCAATAAGATACAGTATATTCCGTAATTTTTACTTAGGACCTGTTTGGTGAATAAAGTAAATATAGATTTCAATATATAAATGATCAAATTCTAGATTCAAAAATTGAAATTAGGGGATATATCCAAACATTGACCTCACAATGCAACACTGATATTGGACATATACCCGATATCAGTGCTGCAGTTTGAAATCAGTTTATTCTCAAAAAAAAAATTATCTCAAATTTCAAAGTTTATAATATTTTTTTCAAATTTTAAAACGTACATATCTTATTATATATCTAAAAATCATCAAACGAACTCTTAAAACATTGATCAAATTTCATGTATCAATTTATCCTACACAAAAATTTACCTCAATTGGGCTCATTTGATAAATGATTTTCCTTTGTAGTGTTTTCTTGACAACTGCGCTTGTTGGAGGCCCATCTTGACCAAACCCGAAGCCCATATCGTACACATCATCCGCTCCACCAAAGTCTGATAAATCTGGAATTCCCTGCATTCCAAACCGGCCATTGGCATGTTTGGTGATTAAACAAAATATTAGTCCCTCTCATCTAGTGGATGTGTTTATCGATCAAATTTAACAATATTAAAATTCAATTGGACCTTGACCATCAATTGAATAAATATTAATTGGAGCATTGTATAATTAAAGTAAACTATTTTTGAAACATTTTATCAGAAAAATGGGATAAGCTTATTGCGTACTCTGCAATTTTTATTTAATTGATAATGAAACTTATCATGTTTGACAGTAATTCTTATCATTTCTATACCATCGAAATATATTTCAGTTACTACTCAGTAATTATTTTTACTTTTAAATGTTTTTATTATAAGACATAAAGCTAGGGGTGGGCAAAAAAACCGAACTAGCATTGTACCATACCGGACCGTAATGGTACCGAACCGTTTATAGTGCTTTCAAACGGGATTGATTTTTTTCATCACGAACCGAAACCGAACCGATACCAAATGGGACGGGACCGTGATACAAATATTTAAAACCGATTATCACGGACCGAACCGTCCAACGCTATATACGGAGTACGTATCTCAAATAATTATGGAGTATTTGTCTACTTCATCTTACCATGTATAGAGCACTTCGTATTTTATTATTTATTTTTAAACTCTCTTATTATTATTGTTGTTATTATATTTATCATTACTATTGGCATTATTTTTTTTATAGTTATTAGTATTCCGATATTATATGAATTGGAAAAAAAAATATTTTTTAACTTTGGACTCGTTATCTTTTATTCTTTATGTTTATGATCCATTTAAATTTAAAATCAATACTTTTATTTAACATTCGTGTGTTTTTTATACAACTTTATACATTAAAATCAATATTCTTTAAGTAATGTACGTTCATTTTTTTGGCACGGTTTGAGTATGTGTATGGTATTGTATCGTTCCGTTTCAAAACGGAATGGTACCGAATGGTTTTGGAGGTCATCTCGTACCGATACTGAACCGTTTAAATAATAGCGGTCCGTGATAGGTTCCGGTAGTATCAAGGACCATCACGGACCGCGCCCACCCCTACATAAAGCCAAACATTAAAAAAGTTATAAAGTTTTTTTGGTGAAGAAAAAGAGTATGTCCATTTTTAGAGAGGGAATGCATGTGTTTTTTGTTTGTCGATTTGTTTAATATATTTATGGTCACATGAAGTTGGTGGAAACTACAAACGGAAAAAGTTATATTCCCGTCACATGTATTATGATCCATTATATAAAAGAAAATATATATTTATTATATTTATTCTCCTCACATGGCATGATCTTCATTATATTTGAAAATCTAAAAAGGGTAAAGGGTGACTCATATAATTTGTATTTGTTCATCAAGAATCTCAAATCTTTCGTAATTTACTTCATAATTACGACCCACAAAATTTCATCAACATTTTTTCAAAAATACTCAATCTATCACGAAATAAAGATTTTATTTACCTTTTCAGTTCCAAAGTTTTCCTTTAACTAAGTTTTTTTTACTCAAATTGTTTTAACAACGGTACAAAATAAACAAAAATAAAAAGTTGACCACTAAAGAGTGAAAAAGGATGACTAGTTTAAGCTAAGTAAATAAGTTATGTTAACAACTGATTAACGAAGGTAAACAAGGAAATAATAAAAAAGTTTGACTAGTGAAATAATTAAGATGATTAATTTAGAATGAAGGGAATATATTTTTTATATCAAAGTATTTATAAACTTTGATTGTACGTAATATGCAAACGTAATTATTTGAGATTCATCACCCACTTAAAAAGAGGTACGTATTTTTATTCTTTTTTTTTCTTTTAACACTTCCTCCATATCAAATTAAACTTTTCCACTTTGACCCTCGATTCACAAAACCCGAGAAAAAAATGAAATTTTTAACCAAATATCGTAACACTAGGGAAATAATTTAGTTAATGTGAAGTATTCAATATTGATTTTAAAAAGAATAATTTCTGTTTATTTGTGACAAAAAAGAAAGTAAAAGTGGTAAGGTTCTATTGATCCTAGTTTCAAGTATAAACTGATGATATACGCTCATTTGGAGCTTCTACGATGCTTAGGTAATTACAACATTAATAATTCTTATCTCCTAACTTTTGCCTAAACTCTCACCACATCCCACCCACTCCAACCTCCTCCAACCCCTACACCCCCAATCTAGATCTCTCTTTTACCCCCCCCCCCCC